ACAGCGGCTTGCTCGTTCTCAGCATCGCTAAGCACCCTCACAGCACACATCTTGTAGCTTTGGAGGATGTTCGGGTGCGACAAGCTCAGGCTGAAGCAGGTGGGTGGGCAAGGAGACAGACACGTGCACTTCACTCAGAGGCTGCTCCCCTTAGAACCAGCGGGTTGGAGGGATGCAGCAACTCAGCACAGCATGCATAAGAGCCAGAAATCTGACTGTGCAGCAAGCATGAGGCCCCTGCCAAGCAAAGGAGCTGCCCCAGGCGGCAAGTCAGGGCAGGACCAGGCTATGCGGCGCCCCACACCTCAGCAGCGGCTCGTTATGCAGATCATAGCACTGATCTTCCCCGACATGCGTCTCCACCACCTTCACCGCCACCATGGTGCCCTTCCAGCGGCCTGCGGGCAGCAGGCAGGCAGGAGAATGCACACCCATGCACTTGTCAGGGTGCTGCTCCGCTTGCTGAGGGCCCAGCCTGAGGCAACCGGATAGGTGGACGGGGAGGAGGTGGGCACTGCTTAAAGCGCCCTGAGCAGAGCCCAATGTGCAGCCCTACAAACAGGGTGCAGCCCCAGATGCCCACCCACCTTTGTACACGCGCGCGTAGCCGCCGCGGCCGATGAGCCCGCCCAGCTGCAAGCCGTCGATGAAGCCCACCCTGCAGGTTTGCGAACAGGCAAGCAGAACACAGCTCGGCAAACTGCACTCGCCGCCTGCTAACGTGACGGCACCGTTGCAGCAGCCAGTCAGCTCATGCGTAGCTGCCGGGTCGACCACCTGGACCTCAATGTCCCCTCGGGCGCGCCACGCCTGCTGCCCTGTAGCAACTGGTCATATATGCCACTGCTGCCTGCTGAGCCCAGCTCGTTGCTAGCCATGCGATCCAGAGAAGCCAGCTTGGCTGTCGTTCCGGGCGATGGACCACCGGGCGGTTTGGCCAACAGGCTTGCTGCCTTGCTGGGCCCATCTCCATCGTCATGCACCTTCAACACCTCCAGCGGCTGCGGCTGCTGCTTTCGCAAGCGGCGCCGGCGCCACAGCAGCCCAGCCAATGCACCTGCCACGGCAAGGGCCGCCACCACACCCACCACAGCCCACACCCAGCCGGGCGTGCTGCCGGTGCTGCTGGTGCTGGCACCATCACTGCTGCTCTCGTTGCTCCCTATGCTGGATCCATTGCTGGCCAGAGGAGGTGGCGCAGTGCTGGCCGGTTGTGGCTTCGAGCAAGAGACAGTCGTATTCTTGCCTGAAGCGAGCACAGTCCCAACTGCACGACAGCCAGCACAGAAAAGGCAGGATCGGGAACAGCAGGGCGGGCAACAGGACATCCAGCAGCAGCAGGTCTAGCCATGCAGGGCAAGCACAATGGCAAGTCATGTGTGGGCAAGCAAGCAGGCTATGCATGGTGGATGAAGCAGGCCGGGCATGGCGAATGGTGGCAGGGAGTGGAGGTGAGGGGCCATGGCACACAAACGCATCAACCAACTGCGGTGGTTGGGGTTGATCAGCTTACTTGCGACCTTGGTGGTTGGGCTCAACACAGGCAAAGGCGCAGCCCAGTCCACAAAGTAGGCCACGGTGCCATTTGTGTAAAGGTCAGTGGCATTGCTGCCTGCGCTTGCAGCCAGCTGCTGCAGAGCAGCCATCTGCGCCCCGAAGACCTCAGGGGTGCAGAGATCGGTTGGGTGTGTTGCATAGTGGGAGTTGACCACGTCAATCTGCAGCAGTCATGTGCAAAAAGGGGCGCTGGAGTGTGAAGCAGAAGGCCACGGGAAGCATGACTCGCGGCCTGACCTTATCATGCAGGTAGACACACTGCTGGATCTCCTCTGCCCTGCTCACCGTGAACGCCGCATCGGCCCACACGCTCGGCCACAGAGGCATCGTCTGAATCACTGTGGGGCTCTCCACACCTTCGGGCCAAGACCCCAGCTGGGGGTCTGCGGCTCCTGCAAACCGCATGCACACCGCGTCATGTGGCAGTGCCCAAACACCTCAGGGCTGGATGCCAACAAACGCTGCTTGGGGCTGCGCACGCAGCCAGGCATGATGGCCCCCCGTACCCGTGGCATTTGTGTTGGCAAAAAACAGCGTGCTGCCGGCTTTAAAGTACAGCAGCCCCTCTATCCCGCCAAAGTCGAGGTTCTTAACTTGGCCATCCGCTGCAACCAGGAAGGTTTCAGCGGCCATCGACAAGGCGAGACACCGCACGGAGCGGAACTGAGCGGCGCGTCGGCGGCGTCCCCTGCCATCGCTCACCTGCCCGGATGGTCAGCGTGTGGTTGCTTGGTATGATAAAGGGCAAGGTGTAGTTGGCCGCGGCTGCCTGGGTGAGGGCGACGTCCTCCTGCAGCTCCAGCACGCTGTCGCTAGGCGCACCGGGGGCGGTGGCCGCGACAAGGGCATCCAACAGCTGCTCTGGGGTGCTGATGGGCACCACTAGCGCTGCATGGCTGGAGCAGCAACTGCAGAGGAGCAGCGCCAGAAGGCGGAGCACGGCCCCAGGGCAGGGGCGCAGACCCATCGCAATTACATGCAGTTTGCACGCCGTTCGTCAAGAGTACCAGCTGGACTTGTACGGCTTGCTGCCTGCCCGTTGAACTGAACTAAACTCAGTCAATCACGCGTCCCGCGTATTCTCTTCTTCTTCTTCTTCAATTCAGGGATATTGCACGCATCAAATATGATGATGTATAGCGCAACCTCCTGTTGGAGCCCCAGAATGAAACAGTGGGCTGGGACATGTTGAGCATGTGAGTGTGCTCCACAGCTCACGCAGATGCGCACCCTTCCAAGGCTTTGTGTGTATCACATCGCAACGGTGCGTAAGAAAATGGCAAGAATGAGCCAAATGGCCGGGGGAAGATAGAAGTACAAAGTGTTTGCTAACTACAGTTAGGGCAAAATCGTGTTAGGAGTTGTCGGTGAGGAAGAGCAATAAAAGACTGGACGCGAGTGAAAAGTCAGCCATAGATTGGTATAGAAACATCAACCCGGTGCAGGGCCAGAGATGGGAGAATTGAACTGCAGCTAGAAAAATTCTGGCAGGTACGGCATTAGATGCAGATTCACCAACAGTTGGCAGCGTGAGGCGAGTGAATGGTTCAAGGGGGTCGGTTTGGAGTCTGTGCAAGTGCACAATGGCCGGCCGCGGCTTCAAGCGTCTTCAGGCTGAGCCGCAGCTTCTTTCTCTCCTGGGCGTACTGCCCCAATGAGGTGCTGTGCTGCTGCAGCTGATGCAATGTGCCCATCCCTGGTGGCAAAGGTCCACAGCCAGGATGTCACGCATCTCCAGCAGCAGGCCCAGGGCAACAATCAAGCGGTACGCAGGGCAGCCAGTGCTGCAGCTGCGGACTGTGCAGCAGCGCACATCAGCTGGCTGTGTGACTGGAAGGTCAGGGAGGGCGGCTCAGCGTAGCCCAGGGCCCAAGCCTCGAGGCGGTGGGCCTCTTCAGGGCGTCACGCTCGGGTGCCGGCACGGATTGCCCGTCTGCATTTGCAGTCACAGAGCAAAATGCGCTCGGATGCAAGGGGTTTGAACAGTGTCAGCTAGTTAGCTGCACCCATGTCTGTGCAGCATGCCAGCAGCCAGCAGGAAAGCAGCAGGCGGAGCGGCAGCAGGCACAATGCTTGCCTGCTGTGCATCGTCATAGGGGCTGCCCTGCCCAGGCGCTTGAAGAGGCCGCTCATGTGGCGGGAGAGTGGCGGCCGGGTAGGAGGCTGTGGCGTGCACCTGGCGATCGCTCAGCAGGGTGACACCCTGCCTGGGCAGCCAGTGACTCTTGATGTAGATTGTGCGTCTTGTGGGGTGCAGCTGAACACATCTATGCCCCGTTCCTGGCTGCGCAGGGCAAGCCAGGCCAGGAACTCGTGACTGGCGGTGGCAGCAGTGCGGGTGGTGCGGGGTTTGGCTGCGGATGCTTTGCTGTCTGTCTGGCGCTGCAGGCTGGCATGGTATTCGGCCAACGCCTAAACCAAAGCCTGCTACTGCTTCTGCGCTGCTGACACTGTCAGGCTGGATGGGCCAGCCTTGCAGCGACGGTGGAGCTGAAGGAGGCGCTGTAATCGATCAGCGCCTGCACAATGGTCTCCGCATCTGGCCTGCAAGGCACACCATATGCATTACTTTCAGTGGCAGATGAGCGCGCAGGCAGATGCCGCCAACACGCGGTGCTGCCAGCAGGCTTTTGGGTGTCAGTTGGTTGCACCACTGCAACACTGGCTGACTGGTTTGGCTGCTGCTGCTTCTCTTGCCCTGGCATTGCGCCAGCCAGCCGCTGCTGTGCCTGCCTCAGGCAGCACGATAACCGGGCACACCAGTCTGGATCCCCGTCTAGCTTTTGTCAGCAGAGGTTACTAGATGAAAGCATCAAGCATGAGGTTCCCAAACAAGCTGGAAGCAGTACACCTGCTAGTACTGATGACACACCTGGCATGCGGGTCCTCGGCCCAGCACCGTTGCACAAGGTCTGCCAGCGGTGGCGGGAAGTCGGCAGGGATGGGCGGGCGGTAGCCCTTCTGCGTCACCTGGACGATGATCTGCAGGTAGCAGGTAGCAGGCAAGAAGGCAAGGCAGCAGTGAGCAAACATAGAATGCAGCAGGCCATGGCATAGGAGCGAGCAGCCCTGCCAAAGGTAGCCTGGCCCTCGCAGTGTGCATGCACTGCACTGAGCGTCTTGCGAGAATCAGTGCAGGCAGCCTGCGGAAACCCCCAACCCCCATGGC